GTTATTTTGAAAGAAAATCAAAATAACGGAGGGCTTTTGCTGATGATAGTAAACCTCATTCCATGAGGAATAATGCCTCTTCTGAAAAAGCTGGATATTCCACATCCTTAGGCAACCCATTCCAATGCTTCACCACCCTCTTAGTTAACTGCAACTTGTGACCATCACTTCCTGATCTGTTATCTGGCACCACTGAGAATAGCATAGGTCCATGTTCTTTAGAATCCTCACTTTAGATAGTTGACAGCTGCCATCAAATCCCCCATCATTCCTCTCTTCTGAAGACTAAAAAAGCCCAGTTCCCTCACCCTCAACTTCTAAGTTACGAGGCTCAGCCCTCCCCTTCCCCCCAGTCATTTTTATTGCCCTCTGCTGGACTCTCTCCAGTTTGTCCACATCCTTTCTGTAATGGGGAGCCCAAAGTTGAATGCAATACTCCAGATGTGGCCTCAGCGGGGCCAAATAGAGGGAAATAATCACTTCCCTCAATCTCCTGGCAATGTGCACACTATGCAGCCTAAATACACTGTCAGGTGTGTATACCTAGAAGGCAGCCAATTATAATCAGTTTAAAAAAATACATTAGTGAACCTTTTTGAAACAAAAAACAAAGTATAGTCTTTTCTCAAAAAAGTGGACTACATATTTTTCTCACAGGGCAATGAAGAAGAAATGGATAGAGTGTTATAAAATCGGTCCTTAAAATAATATTGTTACTTTTAAAATATTAAGTTTCTTAAAAACACTGAATGATCTTAAATACAGCCAAATCCACCTACAAAATGCATGTTCTAAGAAACTGGCATCTTCTCCTGTGCTCTATTTGTCAAAGGCTGTTTTTTAAGAATAGTACTTAAAATGTGGTGATAAAGTGGTACAGGTTCAACCTCTCATATCTGGGACTCTCTGGCCGGACCACAGATGTTGCTGGACCAAACAGCTCCAGCACATGACCAGCAGCAACTGAGGAGCCCTGGTCCAGGGATCTCCAGCCAGGCTTGCAGTAGCAGAGTGGAAGGTGCTGGGGATGCCCCATTGGGCCAGCAGTGTCAGGGCCAGAGGCAGATGGGGATACCTGGAGCCAGGGATCCCCAGATAGGATGGCAGTAGAAGGGCTGGCAGGGACCATAGAGCCTCCAGGGCTGGGGATCCCTTGCTGGGCTGGCAGCAGGCTTGGAGGTCAGCAGCAGAGGGCCTCTCCTGGTTTGGCAAAATCCCTCATTTGGGACTAATTAGGTCCCCAGGATGCTGGATCCTGGGAGGTTCAACCTGTACAACAACAATTGTAAAGTAATAAGGCTCATTCTGTAAGCCAAGTTACTTTTAAAAATACCCATGACAAGAACTATCACCTTCCAAATTCAAAAAAGTATTTACAAGTAATGCCATTTATGTAACACCTCCTATCTAAAGGTTTATTTCCAAATGCCTTGCAAACATAAAGTAAGTCACACGGAACAATGAAGTGGTCAGATCCTGCAACCTGTGAAGTAAATGTTAAAATTCTTGTGGGGTTTATTGAGAGCAAGAACAGACTCAGTATTCCCACCTACTGATATGGAAACTCAGTTCAAATTTTGAACCGATGTAAAGCAAACAAATAGAATTGTTGTTAATGGAGAATGTTGATGTTCCATGTAGATAGTTGAGGGTGACCCCCTTAGCAGTTTTACAGAAACTGAAGACTGATGGATAAAAATAAATAAATAAAAAGAGATGGCCAACAGTCAGACAAGTTCTGCCTCTTTTTTATATTCTAATATTGTTTTGCACTATCCCACTTAGAGACCAGTATGCAGCTTCATGTTTTAAATGGCAGTCTGGGACAAGTGGATGCAGAAGAATTTGGAATCTCTATATTTCCTAGAACCACATATTGAAATGTCAGAGGGTTCACTAGTTCTTCATCTTTCTGAGGCTATGAAACATAATCCAGTTTACTATAGGCGGTGCTTGATGAGACCTTCTAAACCAAGATCCTGCCTACTCTGCATGGCTTGATAGATCAAATGGCATTTTCTGTAAGTGTAGCGGCAACTATTTCCAATGTTTGCTCCCAGCTGTCCTGTAGAGTGCTATGTATGTTGACACCTTATTAGTATATATGCAAGACCAAATTCAGCCAAGGTGCAAATCTTTTTATATTTGCTTCTGTGACTCCAAAATTTGTCCTGTAGTGTCCAAAGCACTTTTATATCCTTAGAATGAAATGGGTTATATAAATATAAAATCTGCAAATAAAAATTTGATATTATTTTTAGGAGGAAAGGAAATAATAGGGCCCTTAAAGCACAACTCTGTAGACATATGAGACAGTCTTTAAAATTAGGAGCTGTCTTCAGGATTATCTTTTTCCGTAGTGTTGAAAATTAATGTTTATTACACTGAGTCTTATGTTTAAGAATAAGATTACATTCAGGTTATATTTATTTTTGTATATTTTTATGGCATGAAGTATTATGGAATGTTTCATAAAAACTCTGGTAGTACATAAATATCTCTGAAAACACAGTTTTAAAGAATTAAACATTAAACAGTATAAATTGTACTTTTTTGGTCCCTAAGTAATGCTAATTAACACAGCATGTTTCATAGCCTACAAATTTTTTGTGGTTCAAATAAATTCAAATGATAAAAAATTCAGGATGAAAAACAATTCTTTCATCTGTAGACTATATTATGTTCAAAATCACATTAAAACCATTTTAATAATGCTTTAATCTGTAGAAATAAACTTTTAATTAGATGATTATTTTCATCACTCAGAGGTAAATACAAGATAATGCTATTCAGAATCCATTAGCTATACCCTTTTCAGTGATAAAACAAATAAGTGTCAAACACAATGCAGTTCTATATGTAAGACGTAATACAGCTACTGTTACCATGGGGAAAATATAATCTACCATCAGTCTTGTTAGTATTTTGCCAGTGGACATTAATGCAAATGTTTCCAAATTCAGGCGGACAAGTATGTTATCTAATGTCAATGTCTGTTAGACCTTTCTGGTGTTTTATGAACTTGAGGATTACTCATTTTTGAATGTGTTGTTTAAGTTCATACTGAATATCTCACTGAGGGTTCCTATCTTTAGCTCTCACCAGATTTTTAAACATCAAGGAACTCTTCTGATGCTAGTAGAAATGCTTGTCTTTGAACTGGTGGTAATCAGGAATTGCAAAACGAATGTATTCTCTTAATTTCCCTTACAACAACATTTATCTATAAATCCAGGTTTATTCCTGGAAGGAAGTATTACTGCTATTTCTCTGGATTGATATATCTGTGTTATTAATAATTCGTGCAAACTGGTTTCATTGATTTTTGACATTGCAAAATGCTGTGTACTATGGTCCCCACCTAGCTAAATACTTAAGTAGGTAATAATCCTAGTAAAGTCAAATGGGACTATTACCATGCTTCAAGTTGAACATATGCTTAGCGGCTTTCCGGATCAGGGTGTGAGTGCTTGCTGCGCCTTGCAGAATTAAGTGCATGACTATGTCTGAGCAAATATTTTGTGCCCCATAAACATCCCTGACTTATGGTTGCATTTTGGTCATGTCTCTACTGGGAAATTATTTCAAAATAAGTTATTTTGAAATAATAACCCCTGAAATAACTATTTTGAAATAGTGCATCCATGCTACAAGGCACCATCGAAGTAGAGCAGAATTATATTGAAATAGTGCATCCACACTGAATCATATTGAAAGCCCCTGGAAGCACTCTGCGGAGAGCATCCGAAGAGCAGTCACTTCCTCTAGCTGCTTCCTGGGGTTGGTGGAGCCTCGTGAGAAGGGCTCCTCTCTGCAGCTGCATCTCACACACTGCTTATCAACTGCAAAGGGGGGGATGGAATCTCCATCTCTAGAGGTTTTTCAGTCCCTCCTTGACAAAGCCCTGGCTGGGATGGTTTAGTTGGAGTTGGTCTTGCTTTGAGAAGGGGGTTGGACTTGGTGACCTCCCAAGGTCTCTTCTAACCCCATGATTCTATGATTCTGTAGGCGGTCAAGGCCATCACCACCATCCTCTTGCAGAGGGACATCGCCCTAGGCAGTTTGGATCCCATTGCTTTCAGAGGGACATCGCCCTAGGCAGTTTGGATCCCATTGTCATTAACTTTGTCATCATGGGCTTTCCCAAATGGATGGTGGGGGGTGTTGATGGCACCCATATCCCCATCCAGGACCCTGACAATAATATATCTGAATACATCAATAGAAAGGGATACTTTTCAATGGTGCTGCAGGCCCTTGTGGACCACAAAGGATGGTTCATGGGCATGTAGGTCAGGTGGCTGGGGAAGTCGCACAACACCTGTGTATTCTAGAACTCGAGCTTCTTCCACAGGGTGCATGCAAGCACTTTTTTCCCTGACTGAACCGTCAGGGTCAGGGACATTGACATGCCCATATATGCCCTGGGTGATGCATTCCACCCCTTGCTTCTCTGCCTGCACATGGGAAAGCCTGAAGCCCACCAAAGAGGCCTTCAATGACAGTCTCAGCAGGTGCTGCATGGTGGTCCAGTGAGCCTTCAGCCAACTCAAGTGGAGGTTCTGGAGTCTTCTCACCTAGTTGGACCTCAGTGAGTGCAACATCCCTCGGGGGGAGATGTCCTGCCAAGGTGGGGAGCAGAGGCAGAGCGACTGGTCAAGGCTTATGAGTACTGGGCACTGCTGCCATTTGGTGAACCCATCTGGGAGGGTGCCATCTGGGAGGTCTTGAGAGAGAGTTTCAGCCAAGGCCACCTGTGAAACTTTGCCCTGGGCCTCCCCACAAGGAGTCTCTGCATTGTCCCTTGTGTCTTTCCTCCCTAACCCCTCCCTTCCCACCTTCCCCCCTCACCTGCAGGCCAAATAAAAAAGCATTTTTGTTTCAACACAAAACAGATTATTTATTTGAGGGATATAGAACAGGGGAGGGACTGGGGAAAGAACCTGGAATGTGGGAGGGAGGATGAGGGAGCAGAAGGGGATAGAGGGGCTCGGGGCTGGGGCTGGGACTGGTGCCTGTCTCAGGTACCTTGGGAGGCTGCAGATGCCCAAGATGTCCCACAGTCATGTGTTTTCAGGCCCTGGCAACCCCTGGAGGGACCAGGAGGAGAAGCTGAGGGTGGGTGTTGGGAGTCGCGGGGATGTGGGGAGTTGTGCAGGGAGCTGAGGGGGCCGGTGTGGGGAAGTGGCTGGTAGACCGCTCCATACACGTGCCTATGAGCTCCATGACAGATATTATGGAGGAACATGTGGCACTGAGCTGGTGCAAAAGGTGCTCCTTCGTGGCCTTCCTCGGCTCCCAGTCAACCCAGCACTCCTCATAATCAGTGGCCTGTTCCTGGTGTTCCTCATCGAAGCTGCAGGTGAGGGAATGGAGGCAGCCCAGTGTTTCTGCACCAGGTCATCGTAGGTTCATCTCCACCTGGGGATTTTGTGGAGACATGTTGATGGTGTGGGAGGTGGTGGATGCACCACACTCAGAGCTGGCCTAGCCATCTCAGGATAAATTGTGCATTATCTCTGAGCCGACACCAAAGGTCTCAGTTCAGATTATATTGAAGTGCTTTGAACAAGGCCATCTGTTGCCTAGCCAGTGGGCACTTTCCCTGGGATGTTCTTGCCCCTGCAGGGAGCCTCACTATCTCCACAGCTTCGCTTCCTTCCATGTCCCGCACACGCCGGGTCTGGCAGTGGTGGCATCCTGCAGAGAGGGAACTTCTATCCCTACCCGCCAGAGGAGAGGTGGGAGGTTCTTGGGGGAAGTGTGTGTGAGAACCTGCAAATCTTTCTTTCGGGCCTGAGTCCATCAAGAGACATATGCAGAAGTCTATGGCTGGATGACAGCCAGATTCTTCCTTCCCCCAGAAAGTTCCAATGGAGGGGATTGGTGTCCTCTGCATCACCGTGCTTGACCAGGAGAGGATGCTGCCCGAGAGTGTGGGCATGAATTTATGCCATGTGCGGTACTGCTGCATGTTTCCGTAATCCCAGTCTCCTTAGTGGTGTCTTACTGTGGGAAGATGTCCTACCATGGAGTTTGGAATAAAGCAGGCCAGTCCAAGAACTTTGTGAGGAGGACCATGGGGTTCCTGTGTGGTGCTCCACGTGCAGCCACATGAACAAGCTGTTGTGCAATCCCCAGGCTGAGAGAGAAGCATGCAGCCCCTCGCAGCATGCTGCCTGCCCCCACACGTGTATAGGCAAAGTTACAGAACTCACCTGAACTGCCTTTGCCTGATTTGTCCAAACCCTGGGAGAGTTTTGGGAGGGAGGGACCAGCTCCAGGCTAATGATGACCTCCTGACTGGTGGGCATGGTGTCCAGATTGGCCTGCTCCTCCTCCTCCTCCTCATTATCCTACTACACAACCCTGCCCTCATCGAGGCTGACAATGAGTGTATCCTAGCTGGAGTCAATGACAAGTGGGGGGAGGTGAATGGCCCCACTTCCAGGATGGCATCCAGCTTTTCATAGTAGTACAGGTGTGTGTTACCACCCCCAAGCAGGACGTTGCTCCCTGGCCTTGGTGTAGGCCTGATAGAGCTCTTTTATTGTCTGTGCCCCTTTTGGACCCGGCTGGCCATCATCCAGCCATAGACTTCTGCATTACATCTCTTGGTGGACTCGGGTCCTAAAGAAAGATTTGCAGGTTCTCCTGATAAGAGAGACTCCATAACCCTGTGGAATATGTGTTTACTAATCCAGGGTCAGAATCTTCAAACATGTCCTCACTTTGTTAGTGCTTAATAGATTGCATGTACATTATTCATGTACATTTTTCAGCCATAGGCAACACACATTAGATGATAATTATCAATTTTGGCAGTATACAATAATCCTTTTCTTCTTAAAGTTGTTTTTAAATACACTGGGTGAAATTAAGCTCCAGTAATTAAATTAAACTCCATGTCATCTGTATTCTGTAAGTGTATGAAAGGATTTTAAAATAAATTAAAGTGGAAATGCTGTAAGGTATGTGTTTAGAATTTTCACACTCAAAAGTTTTATTTTCACTTTATCTTAGTTTACAGTAGTTACTGCAGCTGTTGTCTTGAAATTTTCCTTTTTTTTCCCCTTTGGGATTGCTTTTGAGGATTAAATAAGATATCTTAGTAAATATAAATGGAACAATAACATGGATGTCACTGAAGTTTCAATCTTTCTATGATAGACTAATAGTTTTATATATTCATTGAGAATGTGATTTGTTTAAATATGCATGTCTAAAATCATTACTTTTTGTTATTGCTGTCATAATCTAGATGATTAACTAGATGATAATATAGTAATGGAAACTTTTCTTTAAATGCTGCCAACACTGCTAATGAATCAAAGCACTCCTTAAAAGAGAGAGAGTCTGTATTTGATGTTAACTAATGTATTTTAACATATTCTATTAAGAACAAAGATCCTCCTGATGGTAAACTAAAACTTCATAAGAGGGGTTTTTTTCATCGTAGCTTTTTCTCCTGTAAAATTTGCATTTTCCTGATTTTGGAAAACTGATTGATTTACATGAGCAACTAATGATCTCATTAATTATCCATGTGAAAATTAGGTGGAGCTTTGGGAGAGTTATGAATCAATCATTCCATTAAACAACTCTAAAAGGGTGGTAAGAGTTTGCTGAAAGCTATTATTTAAACTTTCTTTCTTTACAAAGTGGATTCTTTTTATACTACCTTTTGTTAACCTGGTGCAAAGCTTCTTGAACTTGATGGAAAGATTCCTGTTGACTTCAGTGGTGTAGTGTTTCCATCTCTTGATGCAGGTTAACTCTATAAGGAGAAGCAAAGTGGTGAGAGATGATTGGGGAGAGGAATGAAGGAGTAAATAGCATAAAAAGTAAAGGCAGAATTTAGATAACTGTTACTAGTTAAATCTAGATTAATGATCTGTATTCATTTATTTAGACTAATAATACCTGAATGCTATATTTATAAAAGGATATGACTAAGAAACATCGATTGGCAAAGCCAATTTGTATATTTCTGTAGTCCGCTGTTTTGCCAAAGTGTCAGCAAACTGGATGAATACTATTGACAAACCATCATAGATCATGGTAAATGAGCTTTATAGATTCCTAGATGGAAAGATGGATGGAAGGTTTCTTCTAAAGTTCAGAGGGTTAACTGGTCTATGCTTCCCTTTTCATAACAAAGCCCTTTGCCTTGTCTTGCCCCATTTCCTGTTTTCAATTTCTGCCATCTCCTATTCTTCATTTTAATCTCAGGAAGGCCTAGTATATGACACTTTCATTGAACTTGAGTCCATGTTCACTGAAGACAACAGTAAAGAACACCCATACCCTTCAATAGTAAGCATCAGGGTTTCTGCTAGATTCTCTGTAAGACTGTGCTAGATTCTCCCTACCATCCATTTCCTTTCTTGGAGCTCAGAATTACTTCCAAATACACCAGAGTCACACTTCCTAAAACTGTAGAACTATAATTTCTCCAGCAGAGATTGTTTATCTCACATGATAGGGATCTTGTGGCAGATTGGGATGACAGAGGCGAGGGTTACTAATCTAATTTTTGGATTAGAAAAAAAAACCTTTACATTGTGTTTGAGATTTGGACTGGGGTTTTGACTCCAGATGTTACATTATTTTAATGAACAAATTTACAAGACTTTCTGGACATTTAATGTATTAAAATATTTATTTTACAATCCTTGGAATTTGCAAGGATGCAGATGCCATTTTAAAAAAGAAAGTCTAATAAATGTCCTACTATTTAACTTTTGCAGCGGAGGGACAAAGCTTCAGGAGAAGGATCCATGTTTCAAAGGCAATTAATAAAATTGCTCTTCACAAGTAGCTTTATTTCATTCGTATTCCATTAGGACAATTTCTACAGTCTTTTTCAGGGATAATTCTTCTGTAGTCAAACTAACCAAGCTATGGGTTACCTTGCCCAGTCTTTTCTGTTTAAATGGCTCCCTGATCTAGGAGTTTCTGACCACTGTGTTAGTTGGTCTAATAATGAAAAGTTTTATTTCAAACCTCACATCAGTTTAAAAAAAAAAAACTTTATTTTTTTTGTAGTTAAGTAGTATTTGGTCTGATCTTGATTGCCAAGTGCTGACAATTCCACCACATTTTTAAGTAATGATGCTAATATCTGTTATTTAAAATATTGAAACAGCAGAATGATGCTCCAAATTGGTGAGATATTAACTTAACACACATTATTTTCAGAAAATTAATATGCATATCTTCTTGTTCAAAGCAATGCAACATTTTTGTGAAGGATCTCAACTCCTTAATTACGGCATTTACATATGAATACAATTATGACACTAGTTCATAAAAACAAATGCACACTGAGAAACAGTGTTTCAGACCTTTAGAAATACTGTTCGTTAGCTTTGCTAATCTTCAGTTAGGTGCCAGATCAGAGAAATAGTCTAATTTAGAGCACTTACTGAACGTTATTTATGCTCTCTTTACACTTTCTCTGATACATACAGTCCCAATTAATATTAATCCTTCTGTTACTTTGTTATCCTGTTCAAGTGGTAGCAGTTGCAGCTCAGTGTAAATTGGAATTTTAAAAGCAGGTAGGAGTTCTGGGTTCACAATGAAGTACCTTAAGTATGTTTTTGTAGTAATCAAAGTAGAAAAAACTAGGGCATCCTCAAACTTGATGTTCCAGCTTCTTGCAGTGTTGCCCTGGCAGATATTGCCCACCATTTGCAGTATTTTTTTAAAGAAATGTAGTGGCTGACTGAAGTTGTGTGTGTATCCTGTTCATAATTATGCAATGTCAGACTATATTACCCTACGTGCTGATGATCTATATTATATCAGGCATAAATTAACAGTATTTCCACTTCATAAATAATTGACAGTTACCATGTAATAATGTATTTATTATAACATATTTTGTTTATTTCCCCTGCATAGATGGGCCTCACTACAGCCAACTCTCTTTTATACTAGTTAATTTCTTATTTATATAATTGATTAAATTGCCATTAGTTACTTAATATAAAATAACTACATAGAATGTACATTTTAGTAAGCAGTTATAAATCTAAATAGCCTTGTTTCCTTATCATTACATTATTCACATATAAGAAATGATCATGATCTTTATCATAAGTACCGTGAGCACATAGTGTATACGTGCAAACAGTTAACAGTGTAAACTCAGCTTTTAAATAGTCTCACTCTATATTTAACCTTTTGAGCTTCTTGATCTTAGGTTCTTAATCTGAAGGGGAGTGATTTTTATCTTTATTACATGCAAGATAAGTATCAATTAAAAAGAACTGAAGTTTTTATACAGGTTTAGATAAAAAACACAAAAACAGCATTTTTTAAAAAATTCCCTAATATGTTATCTTTGATAGCCATACTATTACTATTACTGATAGCAATACTATTAACCATACTGTCTATGTTAATTTTGTTTGTACTAGTCTGATCTGCTTGTTCAGCATTTTTTGTTGAACTGTGTTTTATTTGCTTATGTTAATAGATTCTTTTTCGTGCTTGGAAAGTAAAAGTTATAAGCAGTGGTGAAGCACTAAACTGGAAATAATATTAAACAATTACTTTTATGAGAATGAAATGAAACAAAAGCATAGACACATTTTTCCAAGCAACCCTTTCAGTGACTGCTTAACATACTAAATAGCAAGAAAGGTTTGTAAAACACATGACAGTGTATTCAATTCCATTTAAAGGATGAACTGTCATGCCAGCTGTATGCAGGGGGTTCACCTATAGCTGCCTACACACAAGGGTGCAGCACTTAATCCTCTGAACAGTCCCTTTGAAATCACTGATTCTAATCAATGCAGTAAGCACCTTGCCCTGCAATAACTTTTTAAGATAGGGCATCAGTTTGTAATTCACAGTCTTGGGTGACAGACTATCAGCCTCCTGAGGTAAAGAAACAATGAACTGGTAATTTCAGCAGCATTGTGCAAGTTATCAGATATTACAACAACGTCATGATCTAGAAGTTGGCAGAGTCAATAGCAAGAAAGAAAGGAAAGGTTTAATGCCTATCTAAAAGTCTTGAAGCTCACTTACTGGATTTTACCTGCTAAACCCTATCACTGATTTTTTTCCGAATGCTGTATCCCAAAGTCTTCCAGTGTGTCCCACATCCTTCATTCCATCATCTGCTTTATGACTCCCTTTTGGATAATAAAAGACAATATAAAACTTCATTAAAATTCACTGCAGTGTCATCTTGATTCATCTGGATGAACACTGGGGAGCAATTGTATATCCCAGAGAACTACTTCATTATTTAATATCAGGTAATCAGAACTGCATTTTGAAAACCTACAGTTCCACTCCAGTCACTCCTCACTGACATGTGCAAACACCAGAAGTAGAATTCTAAATAATTCAATTATAGAAATTATGGAATCGACCTAAATAAGCAGGAAAATTCTCTATATAGTGTAGGATGTTTTATTTTAAATGGGGGAAAAAAGTAACATTAGCCACATAAAAGTTGAACATATGGTCATCTCAGTTATAGAGAAAAAGTCATAAAACAGAGAAATAATAATGGAGCAGTTACCCAAGAGAATTTCTTTTAATAATATAGCTACTAATGCCATTTATGAAATTTCACTGTGATTATAATAAAGGTCACGAGAGAACATTTGTCCCAAGGCGATATAAAGTTGAGGTGGTAAACAGAATATAAACCTGGAGTCTGATAGAAATACAAGTTCATCATGCAGAACCAGGAGTCGGATGATTTTTATAGCCCCTGTGTTAATCACAGGACGTTCTCTGTTTCAAAACTCTAACCTCCATTAACCAGCCAAGATTGGTGTTTCACAATCTCAGTGTTGAGCTGAAGTCAGGAAACGTGCAAGATGAGATCATCCAATTCCTCATAATGTAAAAAACCAACCAAATCCACTTATAATGATAAACTGCCTTTTTAAATTTCATTTCCAAAATCTTAATCCAATCTTAAAGACAGTGAACTGTGATAGTCAATATTCTAGTAACTGAAAAAAAATATTAAAATTGTGCCAGGGAATGCCTAGAAGAGCAACTTTTCTTCTAAAGTTACTGCAGCATCCTAATGAACTGAACCAGAACAAAAGTTGTTGTGAATATATAGAATGACATAGGGTCTGAAAATTAGAAACTCAGATGCTGTGGAGGAAGGGTCAAGAAAAATGGTCACTTGAAACAAAGCACGGCTTTTGTGCTTTTCCAGTTAGATTATCAAGGCTGGTCTGATGCTACATAAGGGAGCACAATGGGATGATACGTGAGAAAACACAATGATTCTACTATTGATTGCATAGAGTAAATCAGAAGTAAGGGCATTGAAATCATGTGGGGTAAAACATATTAAAGACGTAACTGTGGCTCTGTAGAAAGATATTCCCTCCATTTTTCCCTCCCTCCCACCCCCAGATGGGTTAGAATATGTTTCTAATTGTGGTTTCATTATACCTGTAATTATAATACATGGACACCTTTTCACAGATAATTGTCCTGGACCAACAGAGCAAGACAGGACACAAGCAATGTGGTTTAACTAGGCTGCAGCTCTTTTTACTTACCACATCTGGGAAGTACCCAGCAATGACACATCCAGAGCAAACCATCCTTCCTTTGTAAAAATTTCCCCTGGGGAGAGATGCTGTCAAGTTCCACCTATTTATTTCAATTGTAGCTGGGACTTCATCTTCCTCCCCTCATTATGAGGATTAAGGGGCTGTGTTGTCTTCTCACTATAGCAGATTTTAGGAGCGGCAATCCCATTCCACTCCTCCTTTAGGAGTATCAAACCCATCCCTCTCCATCTCCTAATCTGTTTCCAATCCCAGTTTATAGGGAACTGGAGTTTATTGACCCACAATGGATACCTGTCATGTTACAATAAAAAATGAATTTTACAATCAAATCTGTCCATGGTGCCTTTTGGAAAGGAAGGTGGAAAAAATGTTCATTCCCAGGATAATATGATGTTGGATAAATTCCTTCCCAACCCCCAAAGGTAACTAGCACAATGCTTACACCATGGTCCAAAAGCTTGGTCCTATTCCAATCCCAGGGGGATTTTCTTGTTAGCATAGAATCCCAACCTTTGGGCAGGGGAAAAGAATTACTAATCTTCCCCATGGGTACACAGCAGCCAATAGACTTACACTGTACCTTTCTACTCAACCAAGCATTCATTTACTGTCTGCTACTCTGAGCCACAATGGGGGTACGTCTAGACTGCAAGCTTCTTTCAAAAGGAGCTTTTTCGAAAGAGATCTTCCAAAAAAACTTATTTTGAAAGACAGCATCCACACTGCAAAAGTGCATCGAAAGATAGCATCCAGGGCATTCAGACTGCCTGGATGCTATCTCATATGTAAGCAGTGATTGCTATGGATGGAATGGTCACCAGGGCACCTGTGCTTTTTCTTCTTCCCTCTTCTTTCAAAAAAACTTCCTCTTCCACATCCACACGTGCCTTTTTCCGAA